CAGTGGTCCCTCCCTCCCCACGGGAAGTCATAAGTTCACCCTGGTTCTTGTCCTTGCTCCAGCCAAAGGGCTGGGTGTGTTTTCCCGTCTCTCTGTATTTTTGGGCTCTCTGGGCACAGCTCCCCTCCAAGGTGACAGCTTTTTCCTGCCACAGCTGACAAGCATCAGCCTCTCCCAGCACCCGAGCGGGACATACTCACCTCGCTGCCGCCCAGTTATCACCAAAAGGGCCACCCAGGTTCCCAGAAACGATTGCTTGTTCATCCTGTGGGGAAAAAAGAAAGATGGACATGCACCACGTCGGTAGGAAACTGCATCCTCCAGCAAACCTCGCTATCACTTCCCAAAGCCACTGCCATCATGTAGATGTTTCAGGAACGGAGGTCCCTCACCTGACACGCAGACATTTCAGGGATGGATTCCCTCACCCAACACGCAGACATTTCAGGGACGGAGGTCCCTCACCCAACACACAGATGTTTTAGGGATGGATTCCCTCACCCAACACACAGATATTTTAGGGACAGAGGTCCCTCACCCAACACGCAGACATTTCAGGGATGGAGGTCCCTCACCCAACACGCAGACATTTCAGGGATGGAGGTCCCTCACCCAACACGCAGACATTTCAGGGATGAAGGTCCCTCACCCAACATGCAGACATTTCAGGGATGGAGGTCCCTCACCCAACATGCAGACATTTCAGGGATGGAGGTCCCTCACCCGACATGCAGACATTTCAGGGATGGAGGTCCCTCACCCGACATGCAGACATTTCAGGGATGGAGGTCAAGCAAACCTCACTATCACTTCCCAAAGCCACTGCCATCATGTAGATGTTTCAGGGATGGAGGTCCCTCACCCAACACACAGACGTTTCAGGGATGGAGGACCCTCACCCACCAGCTGGACCTGAAATACCTACTCCGTGCAGTGGCATAATGACACTTCCCTGGTGATAACAGCAAATCTCCCTGCAGGTATTGTCAAAGCAAGCCCATAAACCACCTGGACGAGCTTTGGCTAATTCCATGCAGCGTTTGGAAGCTGTAAATCGCCCCAGCTCTCCATGGGCCATCTATTCTCCCCATAGTTCAAGAGCAATTCCTCCCCGATCCGCTTAGTGCGGGGACGGATGCTTCTGCCTGACTTCAGGAGAGCAGCTTCTCCCCGCTTCAAGCACGAGAACCAACGCCGAGCTGCAGGAGCTCTCCTGGTTTAAGGGGCTTCACCCATCCCTTTGACTAATCCTTTGGCTGCTCCCACAACGGTCGCTCACCGTTTCCAACGAGTGTGGAAGAAGCACAAACATTTGCACAGCTGGGCAACTCCTCGCTGCGCAGGAATCAATGACAGAGAGAGAAGCAGATACGGGGCTGGGGAAAACGAAAGCGAAATCCCGTGCCAGCTCTAATTCCTTCTGTGCCTAATGCAATTTGTTACTGGGTATTAATCCAATTCAAAATCTTGCTAAAACACCTGCTTTGATTTCTTCGCCCGTCGCTTCCATTCACTACACAGCGGCACGGCTCACACAGAGCTCCCAGGAAGGTGTCCTGTGCTCCCAGCGAGCCCGTGCCCGCTGGAAAAGCACACCATCAGCTTCAGACACAAACTATATACTTTATTTATCATCTTAGTTTCAATACCAGCCACTCTACTTCTACATCCCACAGTGCCTACAAAACCCAGCATCTCTTTATTCTCTCCCTATAGTTCTCTTTCTATAATGTACGGGCACCAATAGATCCACCTCCTCCTAAACATATCCACATAGACAGGGAACAAGCCATCCTTTGTCCCACATCCGTTACTGGGAGCTCGGAAAAGCATGGAATAGGGTGGAAGGAAAGTTCCTCCCTGCTCCTCAGCCTGTGCCACTGGCATCAAGGCCGGCCACGGTCTGCTCCCAGCAACCGCCTTCTGCGTGGAGAAAAAATTCATTCCACTGAGGAAAAGCTTTGCCACATTCCCCATCTTGGGAAGACGAAAGGAAGATGAGAGAATTTTAGATAGATGGTAAATCTGAGTCACCACGGATTCGTTAGCAGAGACCAGGCAGGGAATGCCTCATGGAGACCGTGGCAGTCCACGAACAGCACCGCTTGGGAAACATGACAATAAAGAATAGGTTACTTAACACACCCCATTCAAAAATACAATTTTTTAGGTACGCAAAGAAAATTACCAACCTGTTCCGTAGACTGGAGGAGGAATCGGGTCTGAAATTTTAGACCGATCTTGGTAGACCGGGGAGAAATCCTATGTCAATGGGGAATGCATCCCCGTCCTCCTTTGCCAATTCTTGCTGACGACTGAAACCACGACGTCTCAGTCCCTTTGCTCTCGCAATTGAAAAAAGTCCGTTTTCTCCAGCGCTGTCCCCGGGACTGGAGGAGTGTTGAGTTGCAATCGCAACTGTTGCCTCTATTGATAACCAGCTAAGCTAATCTGGAGATCAGATTCTGGCCTGGAGAGGGAGAGAAGCCTCTTTCTTCCTCAAAAGCTCACCCCCTTCAGGTGGATTCAGATGGAAATGTCAGCGAGCCGGGGCTGGGCTCGCGGCTGAGCTGCTCAGCATCGCTTTTCGCTGAAAAGGGGGGGAAAAAAAAAAAAACCAAAAACTTAACTCAGAAGAATTGAGCCCCTTCCTCCTTTGTGCAAGCGGAAAAAAAAAAAAAACAACCATCTATATAATGTTACAGCATTAGCATTAAACAGTGCTAGGCTTAAAGCACCGCTCAAAGGCAGTGCCTCGAAGCTTCAATGGAGTTACTTTTCCATCCAAAACTTGCTTTACTTTGTGTAGCGCAACTTACTCCTGCTTTTTACACGGTGGAAAAGGAAAAACTTCCCCAGGGCAGCGTGCTCTCTCCAAACCCCCTGGAGATGTCAGTGCTGTTTCCACCCTCTGTAAGGGCAGAGTGGCTTTTCTTCACTTCAACCCAGTCGGGAGTTTCACCGGGGGGACCGCTGCCACCGATGTCACTGTTGTCCCCCCGGGGAGTTGTGTATCAAGCAAAACCCCCGGGTTGCTCGGAGGAGAGGGGAGATGGAGTCAGACACAAGGCTGGGCTTGTTGGGGGGCTAGTGCCAAGAGAAGGGGGACAAGACTGTGGCCCCCTGAGGTGAGCACCTTCCAGGGATGCTTATCGTTCCTGGACACTCGGTGGCCACTCGATGGGTGTTTCCAGCTTCTGCTGACCAGCAGGTTCTCACATACCTCATGGAGGCCACCATCAGCCCCGAAGAGCAGGACCTGCCAGAGTTTGTTGCAAACCACCAAAGTGTGAGGCTTTGGAAGCCTTCGGCAGCCTGCATTAAGGCTCAGTTAAGGCAGGAGGTGCTCCAACCCCAGCAGTCCCCTGTGGGAAGACAGCCCTCTTCTCAGGGACATAATCACCAGGGGCCAACCTTGGCAGAAGAAGGATTTTTCCCTTCTGACTCCTTGGGTGGGGGCCTTTTACGACCTATTTCCCTGCTAGGAGGTAGATATCCCTCCCACGCTGCCCATCCAACAGCAACAGAGAGGGGACAGGAATCCCAGCAGCCAAATAGGAAACACCTAAAAGCCCAGGCTTTATTTTTTTTTTTTTTAATTTGGTTTTTTTCCAGACCCCCGGGTGCTCCTAGAAGCGTGTTCAGTGAGTTCACCCCCGAAGTGCCGTCTCTTACCTCAGCAGTTTCTCCGCGTACGCCAGGGCAGCAGGAGCACACCACCCCCGCAGCACATCCCAGAGCCTGCTCTCTCTTCAGCCTCCCAGCATGGCCTTGTGAGCAGAAAACTTTCTTTTTCCTTTTCTTTTTTTAAAATTAATTTATTTTTTCCCCTTTTCTCAACCTACCGCTATTTTAGGACAGGGGCACTCTAAAGCAGTGACTGCTATTCCCAGGGTGGATTACTTCTCTCCATGCACCCTGGCTCTTCCTTTCCCTCCCATAGGAATTTTCAACCTTGCCAGCCACAGGAAAAATCAATTGACTCTTCTCATCCTGCTTTGTAAGACTGAGGAAAAACTGGTGAAAATAGGTTTCCCTCTGCTCCTTTGGTCAGTTTAATATTCTGGTCCTGTCTGTCCGGGCGAGGCTGCCCTGATGAAGTTTGATGAGGTTTCACTGTCTCTTTGGGGAAGACTTGGGCTATTTTCTTGTGGCAGGGGATGCTCCCCTCGTGCAGCGCTGAGCACGTCGGAGCTGAACCACCGAAAAAACAGGCATTAAAAGATGAGAGAGCAGGGGGTCTGCATCAGCTCAACCTCAGCAGAGCCACCACAGGCAGCAATGACCCTTGTTGTGTTCCCATTTCAGGGCAGCAGGTCCAGCCCGGGGCAGACACCCTGGAGAGGGGTTTGCCCAGGAGCTGTGGCCCATCTGAGGGGCATCTCTCTCCTCCTGCTTCTCCCCAGGGTCACTCGGTGCAGGCCAGCATGGGCTAAGCCCATTTCTACTGCTTTAGTGGCTGCACTGCCCTCCCCATCAGCAACTAAAAGCCTTTTTCTCCAGGGTGAAACTCGTTTTAACCCTGAAGCTGGTCCCACTGAGCAGGTAACAGCGAGCTCGAGCCTTGTTCTTTACCTGGAAGTGGAGATAAGTCACCACCACAGAGAAACACAGGCCAGAAGAGGAGTAGGGTCTTCAGGCACTGCCATTTCTCCCTTCAAAACTCAGCACCTCGTGGTCCTTGAGCTCAGCACCACAAAAATTCTCAGCCACAGCTTTCACTCTCCCAAAGGCCCACGTTAATCACAGGGGTGAGACAGGGGGACATGTTGTATTTCAGGGAACACAAGAGTGCAAAACTCAGGACACATTTTTTTTTTTTTTTTTTTTTGTAAAAACTTAAAAAATTTTTTTGACCTTATCCAACCTGGCCCATTTAAAAAAATGCATTACTGTATTTTAGTCATGCTCAAAATACCGTTTCAAGAAAATGTAAACAAAGACCATGGAAAAAAAAGATAGAGCCGCCTGGAAAACCCAGGGCCCCTTTTTTTTTTTTTTTTTTTGTGTAAAAACTTACATAAGTTTATTGAACTGATCCAACCCGACGACCTGTTTGGCCTGAATTCCACCGCGAAGTCTGCGAGCAAACCAAAGGCAAATTGTGGGAGCGGGAAGTACCTTCCCCCGTGAGAGAACCCAGAATATAAAACGAGATGGACTCACAGTTCTGCCTTTTTCTTTAAAATGACAGATAGATGCATCATTAATAGGGAGCAAGAATTAGACCTTCGTGTTTAAATTACATTTGGAGTTTCCAGTAACTGCAGAAAAGCAATCACAGAGGCGAAGGCCGGCGATGGCTACAGCCCCTCTAACGCTGCTCTGGGGAAGGCGTCTCTCTGCCGCCTCCAAAAGTGCCACATTCCAAGGAGGGAGGCCCAGCTGCCAGGAATACATATTTTAGCCTCCGGGGCTGCTTTCAGCACCTCGTTTGCATTTCCCAAATCCCCACACGCACAGAACCCACAGAATCTCATTTACAAGCAAAACTGGCGACGAGGGAGGCAGAGCCACCACCACGTCGCCTGCTTCGTTATGGATGGAGGGGGGGAGCAAAGCCAGAGCCTCTCCCCAAAGAAACGAGCTGCTCTGAGCCACCACGGGTCCCACCATCATCTGCCACCAGGATGTATGCAGCTCCCAACAAAAAAGGGGCTACAAACCCCAGCGAGGGAGCAGAAGACATCACCACGCCACACGACCTCCTACCGCCGCCAGTCGGACGATCTGCCTGAAACATCTGGTCAAAACGTGGATATTCAATAGGAATGTACCCAAAAAGACAACGGCATGGCATCTGATCCCCACAGACGGAGCCATGCCACACTTTGGTATATAGCTGTCACCTAATTCCTCCCGAACCAGGTGCTTTCCCCACTGCATAGCCTGCCCCCGGCAGCCCCTTACGCACGGACAACAAAACGGCCCCAACAACAGTAGCCCCTGGACGAGAAGGACACACAAACTAGAGAAGCTTCCAAACCTACTCTGTTTTCTCAAAGGACCTCGACAGACCCAGGGGCTTTTTACACACTAACAAACACCAGGGCACAGCCCCTGGTGACATTGCACCGATTTCAGTCAAGCCTCCCACCCTCCCAGGACCTCCCCCCCAAGATTCTCAGCACCCACCGTTGGTCCCAAACCTCCTTCCTCGCTCAGAGCCCTCCCCTCTCTCCCCAAGACAAGGTCTCCTGTTCAGCAGTGACACGGCAGACACACAAGACCCTTTCCAAAAGGTATTACTAAAGGAAAACGAGCCAATTTGGGATATTTTGCCCCATCGGTTGCACACCATTTGGCCCCGCTTTTCAAAGTCAATCATCTGGACGCACAAACTGTCCCCAGGATTTAGAGGTGGCTCTTTCTCCTTGGGAAGCCAACTAAGATTTTGGGTTTCCACCTCCCCCAGCGCTCTGCTCGCTGTGCAGGAGGTGGATGGCTTGAGAATGTCATCCAGAAACCACCTTCCCCTGAAGAATTGCCAAGGGGTGACACCCATATTGTGACTTTTCCTGACCCCAACGGAGCAGGGGAGCCGGTTTGGGTGTTAGCATCAAATCCCTGGCAGCTACATGGATGGTGTTTGTCCACCTCATATGCCAGTAGGTGTTCTCTTTTTCCCCATCTTCCAGTCCCCACCAGGTCTGCTGTAGATCAAAGCAGGGTTTGCTGCCGGCTCTGAGCGGACAGACTGACCTTCTGTGGGCGAACAAACTTACAGGCACATCCTCGGGTCCTCTTTCACATCCCACTCAGTTCTTTAATGGGCTTGGTTTATTTCCTTCTCTGAAACCGAGACATTAAATTGTGCTGAGGAAGTTGGTCAATAGTTACAGCATCTCATTAATAGCAGTTACAATGCCATAAATATACCCACGGAGGCAATTACTGCTCTACAGAATTAGGTCAGAGATACTCTTGCATCCCCATCGGTCGCTTACCTCTGGCACCGCAGCGACCGAGGGATCACCCACGTCATCTGGAGGTCAAGGGGAGAAATAAGCTTCTAATATTAAACAACCATAATTTCATAAAACTTTTTTTTTTTTTTATATATAACAAAATATCTTATTAAACACAACTTTTCCTATGCGTACGTATGTATATATCATACAGAAGTGTTGGCTTCAGAGTTCTGCGATAAGGCAGGAAATGCCTTTCTCTGCCCAAATGGAAAATAACATCTTCAGTAAAGCTCTAGCTTATAAAAGCATCATCTTATGTTACACTGCCACCATCTCCCCACCCTTTTGTTTCAGCCTTGCAGCTCTGTGCCGTGGCCTCTAACGCTACCTACGGCGAGTCTTGCTCCGTTGCCTATTGCTCATCTCAACGGGGCCAGTGGATTGACATTTTTGGCAGGGGGATGAGGCACAAATCATAAACTTGTCTTAAATCCTCCCATTTTGAGTCACTACCCTGGATGCGGAACTACTCCCCTCCCAACGGTCCCCACACCCTCAACCTGGAGACTATGAGATTAATACTTCGTCCCCTCCCCATACAACCCCCACCCCAGGATCTAGGTAAAATAGGAAGAGAAATACACAACTCCAAGATTATAAAAAGGAGCTCGGTGATGTGGAGAAAAGCATCATGGGAAAGAAAGTGCACGTGGGGATAAGGGAGCAATGCGAAATTACGGTCAGAAGTTCATGTGTAACTGGAGCCCTCACTGCACAGCTTCAAAAAACTTTTATGCAGCTGCTTATAACTAGGTAATTTGAAAAGTCTTCGACTTGTCAGAGGGGCAGAGGAACGAGGGAGGACACAGGAACGTGAAACAAGAGAGAGAAAGGACGGAGGGTTTCATCGCACAGGAAAGAAAATCTGCTCTGCAGGAGAAAACAGGGGCTAATTTAAGCAGCAGCACATGATGCCGACGAGGTGCGTGTGGGGGAAGCCAATATAGATAGTGAAAACCTGCCTTACACTAAACGTGAGTCTAGTTGCTTTGTCACTCATCTTCTAGAAACTGGTCCGAGCCAACGCATCCTCCTAGTTCGGACCTAAGCAGGGACCCCGCACCGGGGGCCCCAGGGGAAAGTGCTAGGTTTCATTTCTGGTGCAACAACAACAACAAACACAAACTTCAACTTGACTCTTTCTCTCTCCCAGGAGAGCAATTTTAGCCATTCCACTCTGAGTACAAACTGGTACAAGGTTAAGTGCATACTGGAGGATCTCGTCAGCGTCCTGGGGATCGACCACGGCCAACGGGGGGGAATCTTCTCTTCAACCCCTTTTTGACCTTGTTCCTCTAGAAGCCCTTCCAACGCAACACTCGTCCACCACCTTCCAAAATTCACTTTGCAACGCACACAAGGGTCCCTTTGCCTCCAGGCTGCCCGTGCTATGGGTTGCAGACACTCTGTTTCAGAAATCAAAACATTTTTCCCCAAAAAACAGCACAGGACAGCGTGGACATGGAGCGTGCGTTTCGAAATTAGTTTCTTTCTAATAGGGTTCTCTTTCTCTCCCCCATTTTGTGCACTCGTACAAACCAGACCAGTGGAGATAAGTGGATGCACTAAATACCTGAGCTCAGAATCAAGCGGAATACTGATCTTTTTCCATAAACTCGAGCACAACAAAAGGTTGAGACAGCACCTAGCTGCAAAAAAAACACACTTCAGCAAGCTCGAGCCGCAGTCGGATAGCTAGGCCAAAGGGTGCTCTGGTGGGCCCAAAACCCCCAAAAATTTAGAAAAAAGAAAAAAAACCCAAAAAACCCAAGTCCAATTCTGCACCGAGCTATCTTCTCCCTTACAGGCCCTAGCATTCTTCAGCTTGAACAACTGACCATTCATGCCAAATCACGAGTATACCGGAGCGTCGGAGAAAACATCAAGGTATCGCACACACTGAAACACACGCACCGAAGTCAATTGTCACCTCAAGGTCACCTGCAGTGGGTGGCGGGCATGGTTCTCACATCAGGGCACTCCCTCCGGGCTATGAAATTACCTGCTACGGAAACGCAACCAAACCTCAACCGACCGACCGACCGACCGAAAGAAAAACCTTGCAAAAAACTCCTGAATGCATGTGTGTGGGTGTGTGGGGAGGTGTGCGTGCACGGCCGTGCACTCACGAGGTCAAAAGAGGCTATTTCATTCTGGGCTCCACGTAAATTTTATCTCCATCCCGAATGCCGTAAGAGTGAAGCGCTCGCGAGCTGTATTTCATCTCCTCGGGTCCGAAGGGGGCCTCCTGGTCCAAGTAGAAGAGCAGCATGTTGCTGGTGGAGAGCTGCACCACAGTTTTTAAGTGCTTCTTCAACTCCGCCACAGTCTGATCGAGACGGATCGACATCTCCTCCACCTTATCCTGGAAGTGAACCTCCACCTTCACGCTGCTCTGTGGCCGAAGGTCCACGACCGCCAAGGGCTCCAGCTTCCCATACTTTGTGACCAGCTCGTGATACCTGGAACATTTAACAAGTCCAGAGTTACAGATACAGTTGCTCATGCAACCCATGCACACTTGACACGTTAAGTTTGTTTCATAGAATCATAGAATCATAGAGTTGCCCAGGCCGGAAGGGACCTCCAAAGGTCATCTAGTCCGACCCCCCCGCAGTCAGCAGGGACACCCCCAACTAGACCAGGTTGCCCAGGGCCTCATCGAGCCTCTCCTTGAATATCTCCAGGGATGGGGCCTCAACCACCTCCCTGGGCAACCTGTTCCAGTGCTCCACCACCCTCACTGTGAAGAACCCTCTCCTCATCTCCAGTCTAAATCTGTTCCCCTCCAGCTTGAAGCCATTGCCCCTCGTCCTGTCACTGCAGGCCTTTCTAAACAGGTTCTCCCCAGCCTTCCTGTAGGCTCCCTTCAGGTACTGGAAGGCTGCTATTAGGTCTCCCCAGAGCCTCCTCTTCTTCAGGCTGAACAACCCCAGCTCCCTCAGCCTGTCCTCGTAGCAGAGGTGCTCCATCCCTCTGATCATCCTTGTGGCCCTCCTCTGGACCCTCTCCATCAGGTCCATGTCCTTCTTATATTGAGGGCTCCAGACCTGCACACAATACTCCAGGTGAGGTCTCACCAGAGCAGAGTAAAGTGGAAGAATTACCTCTCTGGACCTGCTGGCAATGCATCTTTTGATGCAGCCCAGGATGTGATTGGCCTTCTGGGCTGCAGCTGCACACTGCCTGCTCATGTCCAGCTTCTCCTCCACCAGCACCCCCAAGTCCCTTTCCTCAGGGCTGCTTTCTAATACCTCACCCCCAAGCCTGTACTGATGGTGAGGATTGTTCCGGCGCAGGTGCAGAACCTTGCATTTGCTCTTGTTGAACCTCATGAGGTTCACCTGGGCCCACCTCTCCAGCCTGTCCAGGTCCTTTTGGATGACATCCTGTCCCGTCCGTTTCACATTGTGATCCTGCCCTACTTTATCCCAGGATGCTCCTGAGCTACAAAGGACCATCTGCACGGAGAGCTCAGTGACCGAATGACAAGAGGGTAAGCACAGATTCCAAGGCACATTTCAACTCTTTGCTGAAGAGCCAAAACCAGAACCCTGACAGCAACGAGCTGTCCTCATCCTCCATGTCAGTGAGTAGCTGGCATATGGCTCTTCCGAAACATCTCGCAGCTTGACTGGCACTTCTCTCAAGGTGGGAAGGGTGGATGAGGCCCTCACCAGTAAGGAATGTTGCCCAGTGAGCACTCAAAGCCCATAAGTAAGTGCTTCTCTCCATACAAGTCTCCTGCCCAGCAGTGACTAAAGCAAACCCCAGCTTTCTTCTCCATTTCTCCACTTGCCACCAAATCTCTCACAGTTTGGGAAGGTGAATGTTCCTCACTCGAGACAACAATCGCCCTGATTAAAGCCTGGTGACCTGAACAGGTATCCATTAGGAATAAATCTGGATGGCAGGAGTCCTGTTTTCTCCCCTGACAGCATGACACTTCACAGGGCACATATTTGTCAGGCAAGATGCTTAAAAGAAAATAAAGCCCAGAAAGTCCATCCACTCCTGTCACCTTGTCTCACAGTCCCCAAGTTGCACCGTGGCACCGAGGTGAACCCAAGTGAGCATCTGACTAGGAAAGAGGATGCTGAGGTCCAAGTTATCACTGACCTGAGGCGTTCAAGCTGACTGGTCTCAAAACAGATTCCTGAACAAAACTAAGCAGTGTAACCCAGTGGAGACTGGGCTCCTACAGTTTCAGAAACCCCAGCCATGGCTGCAGTGGGATTCGGAAATAATTTCACTGAATTTTAGAGTTGGAAGGGACCATAGAGATCATCTAGTCCAACTCCCCTGCTGAAGCAGGATTGCCTAGAGCTTGTCAGAGCATGTTACTCAGGAGCATCCAGGCGGGTCTTGAAAATCTCCAGAGAAGGGGACTCCACACCCTCCCTGGGCAGCCTGTTCCAGGGCTCTGTCACCCTCACCGTGAAGAAGTTTCTCCTCATATTTGAGTGGAACCTCTTCTGTTCCAACTTGTGCCCGTTGCCCCTCGTCCTCTCACTGGGAACCACTGAAAAGAGTCTGGCTCCCTCCTCCTTCAGCCCACCCTTGAGATACTTGTCAGCATTGATAAGGTCTCCCCTCAGCCTTCTCTTCTCCAGACTAAAGAGTCCCAGCTGTCTCAGTCTCTCCTCATAAGGGAGATGCTCCAATGAGAAGAGAGGACGTTACACACACAAGAAGACTTTGCACCTCCTGCTCCAGTGAAAACACTTCATTAAAGAGTGCCAGAACCAAGCCAGCACCCACACAAATGACACAGCCCTCAGCTTCCATTCCCAGTTCCTGTGCCTTCACAGCCTGACTGATTTTCAGCCATTCCTGCAGTTTTCCCAAGAGGCCAACCGGCTCCCAGATGTCACACTCCACCGAGCAAGGGATGGCCAACATCACCGAATCAAGGTGAGCCACCACGCGGTTTAGAAGCTGAAAACAAACAGGGGACTTCTTGCCAACTGTTTGTCACACCTACTCTAAGACAACACGGGATCACAAGGTCCATCCCGGGGATCCCCCACAGCGTTCTCCTGGAGAAACTGGTGAATCATGGCATAGACAAGTGTACCCTCCACTGGATAAAAAACTGGCTGGATGGCCGTACCCAGCAAGTTGTGATTAATGGAGTAACATCTGGTTGGCGGCCGGTCACCAGTGGTGTCCCCCAGGGCTCAGTTTTGGGGCCAGTCTTGTTCAATATCTTTATTGATGATCTAGACAAGGGGATTGAATGCACCCTCAGTAAGTTTGCAGATGACACCAAATTAGGTGGGAGTGTTGATCTGCTTGAGGGTCAGAAGGCTCTACAGAGGGATCTAGACAGGTTGGATCATTGGGCCAGGGCCAATGGGATGAGGTTTAATAAGGCCAAGTGCCGGGTCCTGCATTTTGGTCACAACAACCCCGGGCAACGCTACAGGCTTGGGGAAGAGTGGCTGGAAAGCTGCCTAGCAGAAAAGGACCTACCTGGGGGGGTTGGTGGCCAGCCAGCTGAACATGAGCCAGCAGTGTGTCCAGGTGGCCAAGAGGGCCAATGGCATCCTGGCCTGTATCAGGAATAGCGTGGCCAGCAGGAGTAGGGAAGTCATCGTGCCTCTGTACTCGGCACTGGTGAGGCCTCACCTCGAGTACTGTGTTCAGTTTTGGGCCCCTCACTACAGGAAGGACATTGAGGTGCTGGAGCGTGTCCAGAGGAGAGCCACCAAGCTGGTGAGGGGTCTGGAGAACAAGTCCTATGAGGAGAGGCTGAGGGAACTGGGCATGTTTAGCTTGGAGAAGAGGAGGCTGAGGGGAGACCTCATTGCCCTCTACAACTGCCTGAAAGGAGACTGTAGAGAGGTGGTTGGCCTCTTCTCCCAAAAGAATGATGACAGGACCAGAGGAAATGGTCTGAAGTTGGGGCAGGGGAGATTCAGATTAGATATTAGGAAGAATTACTTTACTGAAAGAGTGGTCAGGCCCTGGAACAGCCTGCCCAGGGAGGTGGTGGAGTCACCATCCCTGGAGGTATTTAAGAAACGTGTAGACGTGGCTCTTCAGGGCATGCTCTAGTGCCCGAGATTATAGGTTTGTGGTGGGGCGTTGGGGGCGGGGGTGTGGGTGTGGGGTTTAGTTGGTGGGTGGTGGTTTTGGGTTTGTTGTTTTTGTGGTGGTTGTGTGGTTGTGTGTTTTTTGGGGTTTTTTTTGTTTGGTTGGGTTTTTTTGGTTTTGTTTTTTGTGGTTGGACTCGATGATCTCGGAGGTCCCTTCCAACCACTAAGATTCTGTGACTCTGTGATGCATCCCCTGCAATGGAAAGCCCATCTCACCCTCCTGCTGCCTTCCGTGGGTATCGCTCCCATCGGGCACGGCTGCATCTCCCCTGGCCCGGCTGGGAAAGCGGAGAAACAGCAACACAGAACACAATGTGATTGAAATGACAAAGAGGGAGAGCTGCCGGGGAAAGGTACCGTTTCAGAGGCCGTAGAGAAAGCTCTTTTTGTTCCCCACCCCAGCCTGAGCTGAATGCGATCGGTGCTGCGCCGCAGCCCCTGTCGAGAGATGATGGGAGCTGGCAGGCTGGGTGACCCCAGGGAGTCCTGCCCGAGGCAGGAATGTTCCTGGAGAACAGCAGACCCTCTGTCTGCCGGGAAATGAGGTAAGGGCCGCAAGGCACTAGGATTTCCCCAGTCTCACGGGCAAAAACCAGTCTTCACTGGGGCAGAGCATCCAAAGGCAGGCCCGTGCCCTGCTCTCACAGCCACCTGGGCGATACGATCAGGTCTATTTATTTGGAAAAGCCATTAGTGCTGAGAGGAGACACCACGCTCCCCATATTTTACCCACTGGGCTGCTGTCTGCAGTAAGAGTGAGTGTGAGCCAATGTAAAGCCAACAGGGAGGATTTCTTTGCAGCAGTGCAGACCAGCCTTAATTCCTACATGACAACCAGAAGTACTGTCCTAACTCATGCACTAAGGAAAACTACAGCAAACAGGGCTGACAGTGGTAAGAGTATAAAGAGAGGGACAAATTTCAAGCAGGCTGAGAGAGAGAAGTACCATGAGGGAGCTGAGACAACCCAAATGCATGCTGTAAAAACACAGAGGTTTGGGCAATGTCGTCTTAATTTTTCTCATGTGGAGGAAAGGCAGAATAAGCTTCGCAGCCTGCTCCTTGTATGGCAGCTGCAGCCTCCACAGAAAGTTAGGAGTCTGAATATCTGGCTTCCCTCAAATCAATAAGGATGAGGGCATGCTGCTCACATGGTTCTTTTGTACCCTGATAACAGGCACCCCGGAGACTTTTATAATCACCCTTCGCAGCCTGGCAGACGCTGCCTGCCAGAGCAGAGGATGCTGAAGAACTGAGCCTGGCTAAAAGTGTCTCCGATACCCTGCGGATAAACAGTGGAGCAGACAAGCAGAGGACTCATTAAAAACCCACAGACACAGGGACGTCACTCCAGAAGACAGCCAATATTGGATTGTACGCTCGATGCTCTGCCTAACCCGTGACATCCAGGGAGAGGAATTCTGCTGTCCACTTCCCTCCCTCTCTGATCCCTTCCAGCTGCAGCCCACGGAGGGGGGGTTTGCCACGGGAGAGCGTGCCGCTCGCTTACCGCACGCTACACCCCAACAGGCTCAAGGGGGGCTGCTCACACTCAGAAGTTTTCCATGCCCAAGAGTGTCTTCTCCCTCTGCTTGAGGCAGCACTGCAATGCAGATGCCTTACCCCCAGCAACAACACCCCTCTGTCCTGATTAGATTCTCATTACAAACCACCTTTGGAAGGTGTCCAGTTTTGGGCCCCCTACCATAAAAAAGGCATCGAGGTGCTGGAGCGGGTCCAGAGAAGGGCGACAAAGATGGTGAGGGGTCTGGAGAATAAGGCTTATGAGGAGAGGCTGAGGGAACTGGGGGTATTCAGCCTGGAGAAGAGGAGGCTGAGGGGAGACCTTATTGCTCTCTACAACTACCTGAAAGGAGGGAGTAGAGAGGTGGGGGGCGGTCTCTTTTCTCAAGTCACAGGCGACAGGACAAGAGGAAATGTCCTCAAGTTGCGCCAGGGGAGGTTCAGGCTGGATATTAGGAAAAATTTTTTCACTGAAAGGGTTATCAGGCATTGGGATGGGATGCTCAGGGAGGTGGTTGAGGCACCATCCCTGGAGGCGTTCAAAAGACGGGTTGATGTAGTGCTGGGAGGTATGGTTTAGTGATGATGTTCCTTGTTTGTTGTGTGGGTGTCTATTTTTGTCAGTTAGGTTGAGGGTTGGACAAGATGATCTTTAAGGTCCCTTCCAACCTAGAAGATTCTGTGATTCTGTGGAAGGACCACATCGGATTTGGGGGCAGAGAAAAAGAAGCTTTAGCAACAAAAAAACGACACAAAAAAATCCCTCTGCAAAGAACGCCAGGTTTTCCTTCCTACAAGGGATGATGTGTATGGATGCAGGGACTGAAACCCAGCCCTGGGCACTGGGGACACTCTCAGCCATCTGCAGCCTCGGCAGAACCTTGTCTGTAGGGGCACACAGCTCCTCCAGAACAGAACAACCCTCTTCAGTAGCTGCACAAGCCTCTTGGAAACGCCGCACAGATGAAGGGATTCAGACAAAGAGCCCATTGACCACACAAAGGGCAGTAACACTGTTTAAAGGTTAAGAGATCAGAGGGGGAGGTAATTCTCTTCTATCTTACCGAAGGAGCATAAAGGTAGCACGTTGGTCAAGATCAGCCCAGCTTTTTATTTTTTTTGGATGGTTGAGATATTAGTCATTTCTGCATGAGCTCTCAGCTGGAAAGCCACCCCAGCTGTGTGGAGTACGGATGCACACAGCCTGTTCCCAAAGCCCATCTCCTATCAGCAGTGTCACGCGTGGCTAAAGCTACACCCCACTCAGCAATAAACACGCACAGGCAACTGTCACCACGATACCCAGAGGCACAAGTCCAGCAGGAAAAGATTCAGAGCCTGCCAGGTATTTATTTACCTTCCCTCTCATGCACAAACCCTTCCTCCCGAGCTCAGGGGGGCACACCCCTTCCACCACCATCAAAGGGCTACTGGCACCTTAGTTCCTCTCCCAGCCTGCAACCCAATACACTGGTTTTCCCCTGCCTTGCCTTCTCCCAGCTGGTTTTCCAGGTCAGCCCAAGCCCCCTTCGCCAAAGGACAGGATACTGCTGCAGCTTTTGGGCTCAGCTGCCCTGCCATTCATTCTCCCCTTCTGGGCAACAAACTCAGAGACATGAAACAGTTTTCTTAGAAATAAAATGTTATGGAAAATAATCCATTTTAGGAGTGGCAGCATGAGCTTGCGACGCCCGTCTCTCCTTCCCCTTCCTCTCCCCCGCATTTTCCGCCTCTGCTGCTATCCCTTCCAAAATTTGTTACAATTTTTCCGCTTCAAGGGCTTCTAAAATTACAAAGCCAGGACTTTGTCCTCAGAAAAAGGCACAAGAGGGATCACCAGCTGTCTTGTCTCCCTGACTGCATCAGTACCCGTCGCCTCTGAGCTGACCCTAGTATGACTTCAACAAATACTATAATCGCTGGACCTGTTAGTATTCCTACAAAACACCGTGGTCTCATTTCCCATCCCAGTCTTCCCCTGCCCTTACTGTACTGGCAGGTCACATACACAGTGCTTTCAAAAAACAAGAGACACTTCACCTAAGAGTTAAGCTGGGGGAAACACTGACCAGGCAACGTACACACTGACCTGATTCTGTCTGCACCTCTGTCATCCACACCTTTGACCTTCTCCATCTCCCTTGGTCCCCACCTCTGTCTGTCCCCCTGGACACACACACACACTTTTGTCCTACCCCTTTTTGTGAAGCTTTGTGGTCTGCACAAGGGTTCTAGGGCAAAAGGCACATAAATGCGGTGGCTCGATTATCCACGATCCTTCCTCAGCCCATTAAGAAGCAGTAAGTAGATGCTGGCACAGAGAAGATACCAACTGAACAGCATCTGTCAAAGTTCATTAGTTTACCAAGATTAACGGATCATTGGGCATACTTTTTTGGCAAAGAAAAACCATCAGACTTGCGATTTGCAGGCTGGAAAGCGAGGGGACAGCTTCCCATCGCCAGTCACATCCCACACACCAGATGGTCAAGAGAATTAGATGCCCCGGCCTGGCACCAGAGAGCACGATCTCTACCAGCTTTTGGGCAATCCCAAACACAGGTGGATTATGAAGCCAGCCATGGGGGAGGCCGGGAAGCAATGAAGACCATGAACTGAACAGTCATGTTGTTTAATGGCACTTGACGCGGACACTTTTTAAGAGCAAATTTGACTCAGAAGTGATTCTACAAGTCATCAGACAACATTCCAATATAACGACATTAACTAAAACAGATTGAGGACGGCAAGACAGGAGGAAGGCGAGGGATGGTTTTTTCATGGAACAGCTAGCCCGGATTTCCCATGTAACATCATCTGTTCAGTCATCTCTCCTTTTGCCTCCTGCCCTCCTGCCCCTGCTCTCCCTTCTACGACAGAGAACTCGTACCTGAATGGGACTTCCTCCTCCGGGAACTCCATGTAATATCGGATGAAGAATCGCTCCGAGTCCTCCCGCTCCCCATCGGCAACGATGCTTCCGTTGAGCTTGATGATCGATGGCAACCTGCACGGAGACACCAAGAAATGCAGTCAGTGAGGAGAGAAACCCAGGCAGGGTGACCAACAAGACAGCCACCATCAGAAGCTACGTGCCATGACGTTAACACCAGGAGAATCCTGCCACGTAGCTCAGTCCCCAAGAGAGAGAGTGAGGGCAAGTTCCACAAAGTTTCTCCAAGCACTTTCAAAACTACTAATTTGCATTTTGCCACATACACGCACGTATGAGACTCAAAAAAATTCTCAGAGAAGTCGGACTTAACATTTCCACTACTCCCACCTTCCCACACAACAACAAATAAAGCTCAATTTTTTCAGAGCGGTGAATTCGTACAAAATCCCATCTCCTAACGGCCTCTTCCTCCAATTCCCTGCTCCCAGCCATCCATGGCCGTGTAATGTTCCTGGTGAGCAGAAGAAACAAGCGACAGACCTGGCTATTAGCAGCTTCCTGCGTTCCTCGGTGGTGTAGGACTGCAGCAAAGGGATTCCCAGCAATTTCACTTCCTCGAGCTTGGGAAAAGAATTTAACTTGTCAATGTCTTCCCAGCAATGCAGACCTGCTCAGAAGAAAAGACTTGCTTGAACAAACGCAGATAATACATCATGTATCCAAGATAATCAGAGACAGACGTGACAGGCGAGCGTCAGCTGCTGTTTTCTTTGAGAAGTCAGCTTTTTGCTCATGATGTGCTGCAAAAATTCTCCTTCATTTGCTTACAAGACAGAGTAGTTTAAATTCTCTCCTGCTGTTTTGTAAGTCTAGAAGGATGATCTCCATGGCTGATTAGGGAGCTTAGGTTTTTTATGGACCATTCAGTTCTTTGGCCTCACTGCCGAGGACTGACTGGCATCAGTTATGATGGCTGCATCTATAAAGGGATGCTGCCTTAAAGTCATCAGGACTTCTGTCATTCTAGGTGGCACTAAATAGCCATCAAATGGCTTTACCTTGCACACACGACCACCTTGGGTCCCATTTCCACTCACGACCCAACGGTAAAACAGTCCCAGAAGCCGTCCAGCCACTTAATGCAAAAGGCTTTAACTCCATTTCAGCCCCCTCAAGACCTGAGGTTTGGGATAACAAGGCAAGCAGAGAGGGTAAAATAAAAAAAGCTGAGGATCCAGCAACAGCACAGCCCTGATTATGTGGTGAGATGGACACCACTGGTCGCTGCTTCCCTTTGCTGTGACTGCGGAAACATTTACCCCAACCCTTTTCCGATGACTATTCCAGAAGCTTATACTGGCAACACGAGTTAGCAAACTGGTTTCTCCGAACAACATTCAACAGCTTCACCCACACAGTACAGAAAATGTGAAAAAAAAAAACCCAAAACCACCAGAAAAATTATCGGTTCAAACAAAATCAGGGATCTCGTTTGAGCTCAGCCTGTCAGGAGATGCCAAGTTCAAGCCCAAAGCGTGTGTCACCACCACAACTCAGAGGAAAGGGCTCTTTTCAGGGCAGAAACTTAACTCCCCTAAGTATCACGGCCCTGGGTGTGGGGCAGGCAGAAAGTTTCCTTTCCCAACAGGGCTCCAAACACCTCTGCCAGGGTCACCTACACCTAAAGCCATCCTTCAGCTAGCAGCATCAGCCACACTCACAGATAAACTGAGTGGATGCTTGTGACAGGAGGAGAACTCTCCCACCTGCTCTCTGGGGAGCAATGTCACCAGAGAGTGACAGTACTTCTCCCAGTCACGCTGCTCTGAAAGGGCCAAAAGCTCTGGAGGCTGGGAGGGAGCAGACACACAACTATTTTTGAGAAGAAACTGCTGTCATCCACCTCGGCAGCAAAATCCATTCAGCCCCTCGTGACCCCGCTGTGCTCTAACTTCACTAAAACCCATTATCTTTAGCTGACCCCTGATCTCCACGAAGCTAGAAGAGCCTGCAGAAAGTGCTGCCAGTTTGGGGTCTTCACGTGACAGAAACTGGAGTGCAGCAGCTTTCCCAAAGAAAAAAAAAAGAATTAAAATTTAACATGCTCCTTGGGATTTCTGTTTGACTTTCAGCTCCCAAAACATCAAAATGCAATACAAAATCCAGAGTTCTTAAATACCTGGCATCAAAATTGCAAAACCACTTACCACAGGAGCACTCGCTCCTCAGTGAGACAGTGCTTTCAAATCCAGCTTAACAGGCTTTTCTTCCTCTAGTTAGCTTTAAGCTTTTATTATAGGGATTCCTTGATGCCTACATTGCAGAGCATGTTAATAAAGTACCTTCTACCTTGGCTACCACTTAACTATCACTTGCACAGCACATAAAGCTGTAAAGAACAAAGGATGATGATGCACTAAGTACTCCTGCAGAACTTCTGGTGGACGTGTCACCTCGCAAACACGTCGCAGCCCTCCCAGCTGCCCTGCAGGTCCCTCTCCCTGAGCACAGGGTGCCCTTCCTGATATGCCAAATGCTTATTCTCTCTCTGGAGCCTTGGCTGAAAATTCTCTGGGGCTGAAAGGTAACAGCAGCCTCAAGAAAACTTGTGGTGAGCTTCTAGTAACCGAGCAGAGATGACAGACAGCTTTTCCTCACACGCCACACATACCTACAAAACCACTCATTTTACCCAGGATAAAACACGGAATAAAACGCAAATGGGATTCTTTCATCCCCTCCACTGCCAGACATTTATTTATCCTTCTCCAGCCAGGAGCACCTGAGGCAGGGAGAGGAAAGAGAGGGAAACTACTAACGTAAAAACCCTTTGCCAGCTCATTTTGAATAACTGCCAGTCCACGCTACTCTGACTCATCTTTTAGATAACGACTAACTACCTAAAGCAGCAGGTAGAGCCCACAGAGATGGGCGAGTTGCTTTCTTGCCTGTTTTCCTCTCCTAATGCTACATTCCTCAGGTCAGTGAGCTTCAGTACATCTGCTTGCGTGGCCCTGCATTACCAGCGTTAGGAAACTGGACTTCAAGATGATGGGTCTGCTGGGATGACATTTCTCCACAGCTTTTCGAGGTCATGGGGTGTTTTCACCTCTGCTACAGCAACAGAACCATCCCAAAGGTTTAGGCTCTCACCTTCACCTCCCCTCTCTCATATTTTCCAGGAAGCAACACTGACCAACCACCCCAAGGCCAAAGTTTCAAAGAGCACAAAGGAAGTGTGTTTTTTTTCACCTACTCAGGAGGACAGACCGATCAACTGCTGTCACTTTATGCCGAGAACAAAAAATGTGCTCCTGCCAGGCCCTCACCTGACTTGTGCAAATTGATGGACCGCAGGTTGGGGAACAGCCTTGCTAGGGAATCTTCCGATTCTTCGATGGTCGTGAGGTTGTTGTTAGCCAGAATAAGCGTGTCCAGTGAAGGAAACATAATTCCCAACTTTCGAATTTCAGTCCAGTCTTGAAGGTTATTGTCAGTTATGTGGAGTAATTTGAGAGACTGACAGCAAACTGGAGAACAAGACACTGTTTCGTAGTCGTTAAGGCACAGGAAGAGCTCCTCCAAGCTGCACGGGGGAAGAAAGACCATATCATCACCTCAATGTACCACCTCGGGCACAGGGACATGCATGTGGGATTTTAACATGACTTTTTGTAACAGCTCTTATATGATCTGAAACCTTGGTGTAGAGAAGACCTTTGAACACTCCAAACAGAGTGTTTCAACTATGTCTCTGCTCCCATTCCTAAACTTCCTCCACTGGTGAAAAACACCAAGTGTTGCCCTGGGCTCCCAATATTAACAGATTACTCGGGGTGGTGGTCCACATTTGTGCCCAACAAGCCACCAACCCAACTCCAATGGCAACTGGTACCTGCTCTCAATGCTCACCACTTAAAAAGGTGGTTTTATACGACCCATTTTTTCCGACCATGCCTGGTTCTGCCAAAGATTCCCATTAAAGAAAGAACAAGTCCCACTAAGTTTTCAGATGATAAACCAGCTCCCCTGCTCCCAGGAAGCCATGCAGGAAATACTGCTGTCATCATCTCCACTCACAACCCCCTACGAAGAGGAGTCTGTTATCAAAATGAAGCCACCAAGGACATTCGGGGAAGCAGAATGCCACTGCCAAGGTGGACCATGGCCAAGCCACAGAAATCAACACTTCTGCACAGAAAAGCATGATGAAATATTACTTGACAAGTGGCCAAGCCCTCAGACATACATCCCATTCAAAAGCGATTAGTACAGGTATGCAATGCACCATTCCTTCTGCAGTGACTCAGAGGGAAGCGTGTCATCTCCTGCATTGTCAGGGTGATGAGCCATCTCTGGTATTGGACCAGAAGCCCTGGGCTTTGTAGCCCAAAAATTCAGCTTTCGAGACCATGTAAAGAATTCCCCTGGCCAGTTCCCAAGCTCCCAAATTAAAAATTTCCCTTTTTCTTTTTCTCTACCAATTGTGTTTGCGATCTCAAACCCCTCTCGTCCCTCACCATGTGAGGTTTGATCCACCTGCAGCCAGCACCCCCTTTCTACACCCAACTCCCCCCATTGCTTACTCTGGTAATTCCTGCAGGATTGTGTGGACTGTTTCCCAGGAAGCTTTGCTGTTGTTGAGCACAAGTTTGCGAACACCAGCGAAGGACCCAGCACACCTTCTCTCTAAAACGGACAAACTGAGAGGGTTGGAACTCAAGTTTAGAAATTCCAAGTGGGGAACGTTGGACACAATTTTACTGACCTAAGTGGGGAGGAAAAAAAAAAAAAAAAGAGAAAGAAAGAAATGCGTATCAGGCAGTAATCAAAACTCACGCAATAATATCCCATCTCCTAAAAGGGGGCCCGTCAGAATCACCACAAGCCAAAGAAATGATATAGGGGAAAAAAAAAAAATAAGACTTCTGAATAACTACCTGTAATTCATACTCCAGCTATTCACTGATCTAGATTGATTGGTTAATTGCTCATTCACCTCAACAGTTCATTTAATTACACTCTCTGAGCAGCTTGATAAGAAAAAGCCAGTCTCTTGGGAGAGGTCATAAAATCCACCTCAAGACCAAGCTTCAGCAGCAGCACATCAGAGGACCCAGCATGTCCTACCCCTCCTTTAACAAGGAGGCAACGGGCACATCTCTGGAGTTTATGGCCAACACTAGGACCACTGGCTCAGCTTCCCACTGCTCCCCAGCATCACAGACAGGCAGAAGCTCACTGTACACATGCAATGAATTTCTGATTCCATTCTGTTAGTCTGAAAACAGCAGCTTTCTTACAATCAATCCAAGCGTTTAGGTAATTCTGCTTGGGGCTACTTTCTCTTTCTGTGCGTACAGATGTGCACCCGAGGGCAAAGCAGCAGAGAGGGAAGGAAAAAAGATGGAGAAAGAGAAAGAAAAACCAGAGAGGATGGCTGTGTGGTGGGGGTAGGTGCTGAGCTCAATGCTGCCGATACACAGAAAGACACAGGTTATTTAGATGATCAATTTGTAGTCACCTACTAACGATTGCGTGAACAGAGAAGCCAGGCAGCATCAATTCGTAAAGAACACATCATGCCAATCTAATTTTCCTCTTCGACTGGGTAACTGATTCAGAGGGAAGTAGCAGAAGGGAATGACAGCTTCCGACACCATCTCACACCAGTCCCATGGGCAAACTGGGGACTGACAGTGCCTGGTGTATCACTGTAAGTGAAGAGTTCAATACAAAGCCAGCAGACACACAAGAGAGTGTTCTAGCAGAATACTACTCGTTATGTTTTCAATGACCAAAATAATTTCACTGATTTCACTGATTTTTTAGAGTTGGAAGGGACCATAGAGATCATCTAGTCCAACTCCCCTGCTGAAGCAGGACCACCCAGAGCTTGTCAGATCATGCCACTCAGGACTGCATCCAGGTGGGTCTTGAAAATCTCCAAAGAAGGGGACTCCACACCCTCCCTGGGCAGCCTGTTCCAGGGCTCCGTCACCCTCACTGTGAAAAAGTTTTTCCTCATATTCAAGTGGAACCCTTTATGTTCCAGCTTGTGCCCATTGCCCCTTGTCCTCTCACAGGGAACCACTGAAAAGAGTCTGGCTCCCTCCTCCTTCAACCCTCCCTTGAGATACTTGTAGGCATTGATAAGGGCTCCCCTCAGTCTTCTCTTCTCCAGACTAAAGAGTCCCAGCTCTTTCAGCCTCACCTCATAAGGGAGATGCTCCAGTCCTTGAATCATCTTTGTAGCCCTACGCTGGACTCTTTCCAGTAGTTCCCTGTCCCTCTTGAACTGGGGAGCCCAGAACTGGACGCAGTACTCTAGTTGTGGCCTCACCAGTGCAGAGCAGAGGGGCAGAATGACCTCCCTTGACCTGCTGGCCACACTCTTCCCTACGCAGCCCAGGATTCCGTTGGCCCTCCTGGCTACAAGAGCACTTTCATAAAACACTGTGTGTTTTCTTAACCTCTGGGTAACACTCAGGTGGGGAAAGGCTGCCCTCATAGTGCGGTACAAGCCTAGAGACCAAAGCAAAGCCATCTCAAAACCCTTAAGATGGAAGTTCAGTTCAAGAACAGTCAAAGCACTAACACCTGGGGAAAAAGATACTCATCCAGAAAATAATTACGAGTCAGAAAACACCTGGGATGGGAGGAAATGGGGCAGACCATGACATACATAGGTAACAGCCAGCAAAGGGCAATCATCTCACACGGAGGCTGAATTCAAGTGTTGCATACGTGATGCTGGAGGTAATTAGTCTGCCTCGTTTTGCACTACGGAAGTCTCAACTTAGGTGATGTCATGTCTTGGACACTGCGCCTTAGGAATGAAGTAGACAAACTGGAATGACATCTGGGCAACAAAAAGAACACAGGATGTAGAAAAAATGGCCTATGATGAACTATGAGAAGAACTGGATTTTTTCAGTATTATGCTAAAACAGCAAAAGGAGAACATGAAAGCTCTTCTTCATGGATATAAAGGGCTGTCTCATAGGGAACAGCGATGAAAGCTCCTCCAGCCCTGCTGAGAAGAGGGCAGGGAGCAATGGGCTTAAATTGCAGCGTGGGGGACTTAAGTTACATAGTTTAGACTGTGAGGTTATTAGCTAAGCATGGGAACAGGCTACCCAGGCATCTGGAATCCCCATCACTGGCAGTGTTTAAGAGGTGGGTAGATATTTATCTGTTGCGGATGGGTAGGAATACCTAATCCTGTCTCGGAGGAAGGGGCCAAAGTACATGGAAAGCCTTTTATTTCCTGCTTTACTGTGGCTCATGCAGAAACCAGCATATTGTGCTGAAGAGACTGAACAAAGAGCAGGGTGTGAGGCACGCAGCTTGTGAGCAACAAGTGTATGTGCAGCTCCCCCAGCTGTGTGCCAGATGTGAGGGCAGCCCCACCGAGAGCGAGAGGTTGAACAGGGAGCGGAAAGACCCCAGATCTTAGCAGATGTGCCCTCAGTACAGAGCCACCTTCCCCAGCTCTCATCTCAACAGAGAAGCCTAAAATCTCTCTCCCACCTGCAGAGCTAATACCTGGTAAGCTAAGAAGGAAATGACAGCAACAGGCAAACAGATCCTCCTTCTGACTTTGCACCTCCCCAGTGCCAGAGCTGGAGCCTTTCTGCTAACACCACGCTAACTACCTGTTTAAAGACATAGGAGCTTGATGCAACACAAACATATGATCATTTTTATGTTGCTCATCCTGTTTTTTTTTCCCCATGTATTTCCAACAATAAGCACTAACATAAAAGCTGAGCATAAACCAGTGAGGAACTGCTAACAACACTTGAACAGATTGCGATTGTTTCACTCGTATCACACGGCGCTTTTTGAGCGTGTATCATCCAAGCACTTCAGTGGATTTTACAATAGCATTTAGCGTTAATTAATGAGGTCCCAGAAATAGCCTTAGAGGTAAATGTTATTAAACCTGTTTTGAAGATAGGGAAACAAAAGCAGAGGGAGAATAAATAGCTTGCCCAGCATTCACACAATCGGTGGCAAAGCTGGGAGTCAACTCCCATTACACAGACCTCCTCGGTCCTTATTCTGTCAAGAACTGCACTGACCATTAGCCTCTTGACATTAGAAATGCCAGTTCTGGGGTTTTGCACAATAAAAAAAAGTATATATGTTTGTCACCCACAGGCCAAGATCATAAGTCATGAGGTAAATGGAGTGAAGTGCCCAAATGGATTAAATTAATCATATTTATTGCTCAGCTGTTGTCAAAGTAAATAAGCATCAGCTTCAAAGATGAGAAAGGAGTCGCAAAAAAATTGAAACCTCTCTGCTTTAAACGAATAAAGTACTCTTATAACCTGCAATGCGTTTGCAGTCATAGTAATAGCCATAAAAGATATTCAGAAAAATGCACATGTAACCATTTTACCTCGTGCCAGTCTTCCAGTTTATTGTCAGAAAGATCTAGCTCAGACACATGAGCACAGAAGGCAGCGATTTCGTTCTCATCCCCCGCACAGGTTATGCCACAGCTGTTCAGCACGAGCACGCTCGGAAGGTTGAGGCGATCTGAAAAGGGGAAAAAAGAAAACATGCCCTCTGGTCAGCACAGGATTGCTTAGTTACAGAAAGGAACAAGCAGCACAAAGAAGCATGACGTTCAGCGAAAGAAAAGATCTACCAGTTATTCCACAATTTACACGTAGTTAAGGATCTTAGGATAAACCTGGATTTTATGACAAGTGATGACATCAATTAAGAAGCCTTCTAGGGTCTAAACACAAAGTACCACTCTGTATCAGTGCTCTTCAGTTGCTACATGTATTTCTGGCCACCCCGTAGTGAGGATGGGCCAGTCCTTTCTAGTTTATAGGTTGTCTCATATCAGTTCTTGCCAGAACTCATGGTCTTCCCCAGGCAGCTGCTACTGCCGATAGGATACAGGACTAGGTGGAGCATCAGTTGTACAGAGTTAAACTCCTTGATCCTCTTGCACTAAGCCCACTCGGGGTTAGGAAAGCAAGGATGTATTTAAACATTTCTAAGCTTTCACTTTTCAACACTATAGAACATTCAGCATTCTTACATTCTGGAAAAACTTAAGTCTCTACTCTGCCTTTTACATTTCTGCCTCAGTTTTGTTCTAGTTCCTTCTCGTGCAGGTAAATATTCTCGCAGCTATTTCACAGACTAGGACTTGGCTCTCAATCACACCCTGATTTGCTCTGGCCAAAACATGACCAAGTTAAAGCTGTGGATTTGTAACAGGAAACTATTCCAACACAAGAAATCCACGTTTAGGGAAGGCAAACCATCAGTCCTACGCTCTTTCACATCCAATACGGCTCTCCCACCTCAGCAGAGTATCAAAATCTGTTAAAATTTAACAAGCTTTTTCCTGAAAAGGTGCCCCTTTTTCTCTCTCCTTCATATTTGACAGCTCCACAACTAGAAAGGGGTTCTAGCAGCAGTCAATTATCTGGAGCGATCTGAGTTTTCAAGTTTCCTGGCTCATTAGCAGCTTCTTTACAGGACAGTGTTGTACTTTGGGAATTAGTCATGATGTGCTTTTAAGTCACATCTCGATCACTTTAGAAGAGTTATAAACCTGTGCCCTCTTTTCAGCATCCAAACAGCTCAGGTAAGCGGGTGCTCGCACGTAGGAGAGAGGGCATTAACTGAATATTCCATCAGGCCAATTTTCTGTTTGCGTTAATTTTGAGCGACACGCAGTAGTTTTATCCTCAACTGAACTCAGGCACTTTCTTCTCCTCTGTCAAACTCAGTTACTGTAAACCTCATCCAGCTGATTTCCGTGGCTATTTTCCCCTTTGGGGCTGGTGATGATACAAATTGACCTGACGGGAATTTAAACGACTCTTACAGATCAAGACGGGCAAGAGGTTACACAAAGAAGGGGCAGTTCTGGTGGGATAAATGCAAATCTCAGACTCATCTGTGAAAACCACGAACCAAATGCCAACATCGGAGCGTGAGGGAAGACTACAGGGTGTCAAACAGATCCAGCTCAAAGAGCAGGGAAGAACGACACAGATTGCGCAGCCAAGGAGGATCAAGGACATAGATGAGGAGCACAGCGATTCAGACACACATTTGTCTGCAACTCCCTCAAGGCAGCAAGGTCAGAGGCAAAGGAGAGAAGAGATTTCTCCACTAGGTGAGCATAAGCATGGTCAGAGAGCATTTGATGCCTTGAGAACAGAGCCAAAGTAAACCACAAATTCACATGAGTCACTTGTCACAACAGAAGCCCAGCTGGAGATTCAACGACTTATTGCTTGGTCTGAAATAAGGTCCACTCCTGTGGAACACTGGACTCCTGCACCTGCAGCCATGGAAGCAGGCTGATGGCACTGCATGACACCACTAGCACGTGGATCAACCTCAAATTTTGATCGAGGTGGTGTGTATTTGTTAAGCCACCTCTGTCAAAAAACCATGCTGTTGCAACCACTTATAAAATAGTTAGTACCACCAGTCCGAAGAAAATAAGCTCCAGGGGCTGCCGAACCCTCAAAACTCAGCACTGCACAGGGCCTTATTTCCATCTTGCATTGCCAGGATTCTGATTCTGTTATGCTGGCAACGACAGAGGTAGGAAAACATATTTGTTTTTAACAGTGACTAGTTCAGTCACTAGATCAACTTTCAGTCTTTGTTAGATGCCAGTCTCTCAGCCCTTCAGTAAGAAACACATTATAATACATCGCGACGTTTCTTTTTCTGGTCAATTCAGGACAATTCTTCTTTCAACGTAAGCAACAACAGCCAAGAAACAGATCCCACCCAGAAGCCCCACAGATGTTCAGGAAGACCAAACCCCTACCTTTCATAGGTGAACCCTGTGGAGTTGCTGGGACGTGCACCCCCATGCCAGGTCCACGCCGATAGGGGAAGTTCTCGGGGCTGTATTTCTCACAAAGAACTTGCATGAAACTCCTTCCGCTGGGCTGGTCCATGCTCCCTTCTTGGACTTCTAGTTAAGGCAGAAAAAAACCACAAAAACACAGCAAATAAGCAGCCAGCAACTAATAATCATCTCCAGCAGCGGTCCTTGGGAACACAGGACAGAAAGTGACCAGCTGCGTCATGGGTTTTACTACTTCTGAACTGCAGATTAGTCCAACGGGTCATATTTCAAACTCAAGATTACAGTAAAACATTACCTGGAAAGAAACCAAAAGCAAACACAGGGCCCGAGCTGCACAAACGTGCTTCCAGTTGTACCATTACAGGCCAAATACAGCACCTCCTCGCCCCACATGCTCTTACAGGACAGTTCCCAACATACCAAGGGCTGCAAAGGTTCCCTCTGTCCCTCACCAGAGGATTGAGAGATATTTGTAGACATTCTCAAACACATTTCCAGGGAAGCAAGCAGGCCAAAGAGCTGGTTATGAATAGGAGATCGCTCCAACAGGTATTTTCACACTGTAACTTCCTTCTTCTCCATGGACTTTCAGTCCAGATCAGCTTTTTGGGTGGGGCAAAGAATGGGAAAAAGGATCCACAGCTCCCTAACTGTTTATAAAGGAACACCATGCAAAGCAGGTTATGGTTTGGTTTTTATTAAAATCAGGTCAATGCTGTTAACAGCCCGGAGCTCAACAGCCTCTGAAACAAGACTTCCAACAGTTGGCCCACTGGGTACCACGGAAATACTTGAGTTTGATAGTTCACTCAGGGTATCACGGGGCTCTCATCTTCGCTGACAGCAGTGGCTCACTCAGAGCAAGCTTCGGCCTCAAAAGGAGCATCATCATCTCTCCTCTGACATTTGCAAAGACCTACAGCTCTTTCCTCCCGCTTGCAAACCCGGGCTTCTAATTAGAAGACAACTGCTGTGTCACGAAACCCTCGCGAGCAAACATGAGCACATTGTTTGGCCACTCCAAAACGCAAGTTTTGCCAATTCAATTTTGCAGCTGCTTAATGCATCGGGAAGATAAACGTGCCCTTCCTATCTACACATGCCACATAACAGAGCAGCACAGGAAAAAGGACTCGCCACGTCGCAGGCTGCTGACCTGCCTAGAAAGATACCGAGTGTCAGCTGGAAGTATATTTGGCACAAAGACACCCCGATGATGAGCGTTCTGCTGTACCCTAGGTGGAACTAAGCTCATCTGTCCTACTTTCCTGCACATCCCCTGACCTTGGTATTCCTGGATAATAAAGGAGTCAGGCTTGATAAACGCTCAAAGAACGGGAACCACCTTGTTCCTGGGTTTCATGGAGGGCTTGTCCTCGAAAGGAGGGTCTGCTACCTGTCATGGACACGGAGGAGACATCCACAGCCACCCATTCTAACACCACAATGCACAAACTCACAGGAATCAACTGCAGGTTTCCTACAGGGTACAATCAGTCACGGAGCAGCACTTTCACTAAGTACCACAAAATTATATTTTTAGTACACTAAAAAAAACCCAGCTCACCCAAATATGTATATTCTGCACATAAACCTGCACCTCCAGCACTCCTGGTTGGAAAACCAGACTTTTGACTTCATGGTGGGGCCACACGTATACTGGAAGTGATGTTGTCAACCAATATCGAACTACAGTTTCTGTCTGCTGCCATAAATTTTCCTTTAGATTTATTACAGGCAAGGATAGATAAAAAACCCTGACAAATTAACTAAGGTTCAGGTTCCCTTGGCTGGGAATCACCTGTAACAAGCTCCACTTCTTCATGAACAGATTATCTAAAACACTTCTATCACAAAGAACTCCACTGTAATAAGAAGCAAATTGACTGAAGTCGGTTATATTTTTTATAATATATTGTTATATATATGTTTTATAATATATGTTATAATTTATAAAGTTAACTAACCACAAATACAGACTTAAAGGATTGGTCTGTCTTAAAAAAAACAACACCACACCTTTCTCAGCCCTCAACAACTTAGCTGATTCATATCTCCAACTTAACTTCATGCCACTAGTCCATCTAGAATTGAAAAAAAACAACCTCAAATTGAAGCCTGTGTTAGGAAGACGCCACTTAATTTTATGCTAAAACATTCCACAGGCTACAGGAACAATTTGCAATGACAGCCAAGGCTTTAGGCTGAAAGACCCCATCCAGAGTGATTTGGGAGCCCAGTACTGTAGGACAGACAGACACTGCTTTCTAAATGCACATTCAGACCTCCTGGTCTGGAAATTCTGGAACTCCCCCACGAATAAAGCTTTTTGTCCTTCTCACTGCTTTTCTATCAACTCCATTCCTCTTTATCCACTGAGAAAACATCGACTGGAAATTCCACAATAGAAAGTCAACTCAACATCACAGCAGAGGCAAAAAATTTGAGTTTTCAGCTTCAGTACGAGAGCAATCCAGAACCGAGACAAAACCCTCATGACACCCACATTCATCAACTTTGAATCACAAGCATTTTCCTTCTCGAGCTTTTCTTTTGCAAGCCAATGCCACTGCCAGATGACAAAACAACGCCAGGGGGTGGGCAGTCCCCTCTTCCACTTCCCTTCTCATCAGATTTTGCATTCTCTGTAATCATCTGTCATGCACGTGGCTCCTCTGAATCACTACAATTGCTCGAGAGCAAGGACTGACAGAATATGCAAAGGAACCTGACACATTTCACGTGAATGTTGTCTGTACAGGGGCAGGACAGGATGATTTGGCCAAGGTCCACCTTTCCGCGTGTTTTCCTACCGACGGCACAGGCAACAATTCCCACCCTGAAATAACTGCGGGGTTTCTAAATGACAGCATAGGTTGCAAAAGACGTGCTCGGTCTTTGAAAGATGTCAACAAATAGTCTTCCTTGTTTACAATGCTCGGCTGGAAGGCTGTGGCCCTGGTGACACACAACATGGCAAGTGTCTGCAAAGAAGAGCACGACCCTGAGTTGAGATCCAAGGGAAACCCAGGGGGCTGCTGCAGCCGAGGAGTGAAGTGAAAGGAGGACACTAGGAATGACACGAAAAATATTTCTAGCGCCATGCTACAAGGAGAATAAGAGACCCTTCAGGAGAATTCCATCACTGATGACATTCTAATGAATCCCGATGCCTTCAGAGCGGCTCCTAACCCGTCACACACCTAATGCGCTTTGACGTGTCTGTAGACGTGAAAAACAAAACACAAGGGAAGGACACAACAGAACAAACATCTGTCTAAAAGATGCCCGCGTGTCCTTCTCCTCAGACATGATGCAGGGAAATTATTTTTGAAGTGCTCTGAAGCGACAGACGACTGAATGCTACCAGGGTAGTCAGAGTGACCCCCTCAGCCACCAGGGCAAGCTACCCAAGTCCTCCAAAGGCCGTCAGGGACTTCTCCACCGGAGCAAACACAGCTATTTGCCCCCCCGCCACGGCACCACGCTTCTGGAAGCGGCCACGGCCAATGTCAGGGACTGTGGGGAGGGGACACAGGAGGGGAGACGCCAGCCATGTCACTGGGCGTGCTTCTGCGGCCGGGACCCCGGCACCGCTACCGAGCCAGCATCCCCCCCGCGGGGGGGACCACTTGGGCCGCAGAGGAGCCCGTCTGCCGGTCCCTACCTCTGCCCCACGGGCCCCACGG